ATAATGAGACATAAAACTGTGAGCTATACTCCACAACAAAATGGGGTTGTCGAGAGGTTAAATAGAACAATTCTTGAAAGGACCAGATGTATGTTAATCAGTTCAGGCCTTCCAAAAATTTTCTGGGGTGAGGCTGTAAAAATAGCATGTTATCTTATCAATAGATGCCCTTCCAGCTCTCTAAATAACAGAATTCTCGAACAAATCTGGTCTGGTTCAATGCCAGATTATTCTCACCTAAGAACCTTTGGATGTGCAGCTTATGCACATCATACTGAGTCAAAATTGGACCCTAGATCATTGAAGGGTGTGTTTTTAGGATATGGAGAAGGTGTTAAAGGCTATAGACTGTGGTTAAGAGATATGAGGGGTTATAAAGTGATAACAAGCAGATCTGTTATCTTTAATGAAGATGATTTTTCTTGTCTTAGTGACAAATCAGGTGAAAATTTGGGAAAAGATGACTTTATTATCATAGAAATTAATTTTGATAGCCAAAATACTGATGACCAGGCTCAGTTTGAGGTGGAGCCACATCACGTAGAACCACAGAATGTCTCTGATGTTGAAATATTGGAAGATGAACAGCGTCTAGAGCTTGCACATGACCTGCAAGGCCACCAGCTTGCTAGAGACAGGGAAAGGAGGCAGATAAGACCTCCTTCTAGGTATCAGTATGCTGATTTTGCATCTGATCAGACTGAATCTGAACTGTTTGACATAGGACCAGCCTCTTATGAAAAGGCTATTTCTTCCAAAGAATCCCCTAAGTGGATTGCTACAATGGAAGATGAAATGAACTCACTCTTTAAAAATGAAACCTAGACTTTAGTTGAAAAACCAAAAGATTGTAAACTGATTGACTGTAAATGGGTTTATAAGATTAAAGAGGGTGAGACTAAGGCTAATGATAAAAGATATAAGGCAAGACTTGTAGCTAAAGGCTTTAATCCAAGGGAAGGGATAGATTACACCGAAATTTTTTCACCGGTTGTTATATATACATCCATTAAAGTCCTACTTGCTATAGTGACGCAATTTGACTTGGAGTTAGAACAACTCGATGTGAAGACTGCCTTTTGAAGTGGAAGGAAAGGGAAACTTAGTGTGCCTCTTAAAGAAATCCTTGTATGGTTTAAAACAGGCCCCTAAGCATGGTACAAAAGATTTGACTCTTTTATACAAGATTTGAACTTCAAGAAATCAGAATATGATCCCTATTTCTATTATAAGAAAGAAGGTGAATCTGATTTTTTCTATGTACTTTTGTATGTTGAGGATATGCTCTTTGCTGGTCATAATTCTGATGCATTTAACTCAATTAAAGAAAATCTGAAATCGGAATTTGAAATGAAAGATTTAGGACTAGCTAGAAAGATTTTGGGCATGGAAATAAAAAGAGATAGAATAAATGGAAAGTTGTTTCTAACACAAAATCTTATCGTGATAAGGTTGTTAAAAGATTTTCCCTTCATGAATCTAAGCCTATTAGTTTGCCTTTATTTGCTGGTATGAAATTATCTGTTGATCAATTGCCTAAAACTGAAGAAGAACATAAAAGAATGATGAATGTTTCGTATTCTAATGATGTTGGATCTGTCATGTATGTTATGGTTTGCTCTAGGCCTAATATTGCTTATACTGTGAGTGTGTTAAGCAGATTCATGAGTAACCCAGGTGAAATACATTGTCAATGCATGAAAAATTTGATTAAATACTTGAACGGAACTAGTAACTTAGGTTTAATGTTCAAAACTAATAAAAAAGGACTTAGACTTAAAGATTATGTAGATTCAGATTTTGCTGGTAACCCAGACAATAGGAAGTCTACAACTGCATATTTTTATGTTATAAATGATACATGCATTAGCTGGAAATCCCAGCTTAAAAAATTGGTTGCATTGTCTTCAACCGAAGCTGAATACATTACTGCAACTGAAGCAGTTAAGGAGGGTTTACTTAGTGAATTAGGACTTATAGAAAATCAAGTGGAGCTGTGTTCAGAAAACCAAAGTGCTATTTTTCTAAGTAAAAATCCTATTTTGCATGATAGATCCAAGCATATAGATGTAAAGTTCCATTTTATTAGAGATATTATTGATAGGGGTGATATTAGATTGATCAAAATACCTACTAAGGTAAATCTAGTAGATGTCGGAACTAAGGTAATCCCTATTAGTAAGTTTCTTGATTCTTTTAGATTAATTAATCTTGAAGAAGACTGGTTTTCATTATTTTGTTTTTTAAAGGTAATAAGAGAAAATGAAATGGAGATAAGTTTTGAATCCACAAAAGCAGGCACAAAAGACAACAAAGGTCGAGAATGTAGAAATTGGGTTGCTGCCTTTGTGAAGCCCAAAGTTAATATGCTCAACCCATGACCCAGTTAAATGGTCTAAAAGAAAGAATAATCTGGAAGCTCAATTGGGTTAAAGGAAAAACACGTTTTCAGTTGTGAAAAATGACTTTCACCTGATCTCGACACTGGCAATTGCTGGACCATTGGACAAATGATTTGTTTCTTTCATATAAAAGAAACTAAAACGCCTAGGGTTTGGAGGCTCTCATTTTACGCAACTTTCCTTTAAGTTAAAAATTCTCTCTGTACTTTGGCTCTCTCATCTTGGATCTTGTCGATTTTCTATTGTTGGTTGAGAGTATGCGTGATGTTATGAACTCTTGTGTGAGTTCTTAGTGTTGTTTAGGGGATTTTGTTGTTACTGTGGCTGGAACTGTGTGTTCCATTTGTAATTCAAAACTGTTGTAATTTTGGGCCGATGTTTTCCAGTGGATTCGAGCTTATTCCTTCATGGATGCTCAACGGGGACTAGGCGATCTGATAAATCGCTGAACCTCGGGGCTTCGGCCAAAAATCACTTGTGTTCTTTTACTGTTTTGTTCAGATCTGCAAATTTTGATTTTTAGTCTTGCGATTTTGATGGTTTTAAAACGTTCCTAGGTTTCTACAAGATCATTGTCTCATGTTAAATGTGCAGTATATATTATTGTATGAAGATAATAAATGTATTGCCACAGATACTGGAATCAAAGAAGACGGCGAAGTATGGACGGATAAAGCAAAAGGAAGCAGAGCAGGTATATAGGTTTCAAAGCAGGTGGGAGATAACGATAAAGATATTAGTGGATTGGATACTTAATGGAGATTTCATTTTTGGTATACTCTGTGTATCACATGCTTCATGTAATTAGGGAACCCTTATTAATGCAATACGATTACATATTAGAAGAAAAAATAAGATGCCAACCATTACATAATTACGGAAAACCAGGCAACATATTTAGCCCGCAACTACAATTATTTCAAGGATTTATGACTTACCAAAGAGACCGAGCCACTGAGATGTGGCCATCTTTACCTCTCCTTAGAGCAATGATGATGAAGATTCTTAATATGTACTTGGTAGGAAGTTGAATCGAGCGATAGGGACTTCACTTAAAAATGATTGTGGCTTTCAAAAATAGGAAAGAAACTTAAGATACAAGCAGAAGTTGCACTATCAGCATTCTCTGGCATTTACAGCGGCTACATTTCATTTGCAGCAACCATTTTAATTCCCTATTCAAATAAGGCACTACATTCTTATACCCTATGCATACCTGTCAAATATGGCTGTTCTGAAATTATAAAGCGGGGCAAAATTTGTGCCATATCCTTCTAATTCCACTTTACACCATTTATGACATTGACAGTGTCGATATTGCTTTTGTTTTCATGGATCTATATGAAATGGAGGTCGTTTTATGGTTGTTAATGAAGGGAAGACATGTTTGTTTCACAAGGCTGATTGTTCTTACTACGGCCAGCCCTTGTATATGCTTGCAAAATATTAACCTCATCTATTATTTAAAACAGAGTCTAATATAGTAAACCAGAACATGAACTAAGCAATGAGCAAGTGTCCTTAAGTTCAGCTCCATTGTCCCCGTGCACGCCTAGTAACTCGTACATTGCTAGAAATATTTTCGAACTTATAGTCATCCAAAAACCCTTGTACAGTAAAAGTCTCAAGACGAACATGTCACCTTAAAGCTGTAGCTACATGGTAGAGAGGCACTACAAAAAATAAATGATTTCGCGACAGAAAAATGTTGTCGCAAAAATTGAGATTTTGTTGCAGAGGTAATTTTCCGACGACAATATATTTGTTGCGAGTATTGTCGCTCTATATGAGTCACAAAATGTGTTCTGTGACGACGTTTGGCTATTCATTACATTAACAAAATCTTGACACTATTTGTTTGATGCAGAAAATACGAAATAACAACACAATATATGTAGCCATAATGTCTTCACATAAGCCCAACCATGCAAACTAGCATTTCCCAGGGAGTTCTGAAGATGCTAGTCCAAATTTATATTGAGTCGCCATTAACATTAGGTGGGGATAATAAGAACCCATATATAAGTATAGATACAAAGGAAAAACCAAAGGAAGGACTAAAATTACTCTTACAAGAAGCGCAAGTACATTCTCCATGGATCAATTCAATTAAGAAATATCATTATCATCGATTCAATTTAAGGTATTTAAAACTCCCTATCCAGAGGATTAATGCATATATATAGACTATTTTCTAACTATATGATATCCATGACTAAATATCAAAGGACATGATCTGCACATAATGCATAAAAATCTCAATTACCAAAAAGCAACCATATTTTTTTGAAGTGAACGGAGTAATAAAGGCACGCAAGTGACTCCAAAGAAACATTTGTGGACTATCCAGCTTGACATTTTTCATGTAAATTAGGTACTTGAATTCATCATCATCCATGAGGCTATAATCTAATAATTGAATACTATTGCTTCAGGTACAAACCAAGTGGTCTAAATTGTGGAAAAGAGAAACAAATCTTTGCTGAGGCATGAGAATTCTGATGTTTATCGTGGACTTCTCTACTTGATTAAATTTGTGTCGGAATGATAGTTGCAATATTTATGTATAAATATACATTGAAGAATAGCAAAGACAAATTAATAAAAAATAGAAAGCTTCTCCACTTCTCTCGCACTCGAAAAACAAAGCCTTTTATTAGAAAACACAACAACAACAAAGTAATAACTAGAAGAAACAAAGGCTTAAAACAAAGCATTTTATTAGAAATAAAACAAAGTAACAACAAAGCTTCTCCACTTTTCTTAGTAACAGCAACAAATACAAGAACTAGTATTGTAGATCCTTTTACTACAAAAACCTGTGCTTACCCGGTCAAAACATAAACCTTGACGCTCAGATTGTTGAGTGGATTAGGGAAATCCATAACCTAAAATTTAACATTGCATATAAAGTAATTGGAAGAAAAGTAAGACCAGCAACAATTTTTGGCAATATCCCTAAGTTTTCTTCCTTATGGACCAAAAAGAAGTTACACTAAATGTTAAAACCATGCAAACGATTGAAACAAAGAGTGTAAAGAACTTCATTATGGAAGTTGTAGAGCTAAACATTGCCACTGCATCAGATGTAATAAAAATTGTGAACCACCCATTGCTCAAGAAAATTGGAGCGCTTGTTTCTTCCTTATTCCCACCTGGTATAGTAAAAGCTACAGCAAACACAACAGTGGCAATTAAGGTTGCCACAACCATGCAAGAAGTTGCCGTGTCCTTCATCCACTTCTCACCAGCTTCCCATAACTTCTTATGCTGCTTCGTAAACAACTCCTTAGGTGTTTTGTCATCAATGTTTTTCATCTGAACATTGAAAGGCAATAGAATCTGCTCCACTTCCTGTAAGGCTTACTCAAATTAATGTGTATTGCATAATCATCCAAAATTTAATTGTTACATGGGGAATTAATTTTTTTTACGTAGAATAGTGACATGGATATATATAATATCCACAAATATATTCAAGATAAACAAGAGATGAGACAATTCACCTTCATTTTATAAAGTGTTCCTCTTCTCTTTAAGGGGAAAAAGGAAAGGGAATTTGGTAGTCTTGCTAATTTTTTTGGTAGTCTTGCTAATTTCTCACCTTAAACCATAATAGCTCTCTCTGCTTTTGAAGAGCTGCTCCAGATACACTATCGAGTCTGTTTGAAGGTGCTAATTTTGCAGCCAAGTGCAAAATGTTGTTTCCGGATTTATCTCTAAAGATCATCAATAAATCTTTAATAGCTCTTGTGTGGTCAATGAGACAAAAGACTTTCTCTTGTAAGCGAGTGACAGCAAGATGAAATATGGAGTTATTATTTTGGACGTCTATAAGATCAGGATATGAGATGATAAGCAGAGTCAAAAACTCCACATTCCCATTTTTGCAGCATCGTTAATTATAGGAATCTGGCAAAAAATTGTTTGTAATTTTCGAGCCCTCAAAAGTCAAAATCTGGTCCCAGAGCTTCTCTACCAACTGACCGGCTTGTCTCCACTTTTCAATTGAACCATATATCCTTTTGAAATCTACAAATTTTTACTAAATTATTTCTAAAGTTCATGTTAACTACAGAGCTGAAAATTCAAAATAAATAAATAAATAAATAAATAATTATGGAAATAATCTAAGAAAAAATCTATATGTCAATCATCCACACATAAAGCCTAGACTTTAAACTAATAGCTAGGAGTTACTTTGAAAAATAGAATAATCTATATTCTGATAATTTTGTGATTAAGACAATAAACCAAAACAGAAACACTAAGAAGGGCATAAATGTGAAAAGTAAAGCTTGAAAGTTTCAATTTAAACCCGTGCATAAAAAAAGTTCAATTAATGTTTCGAAGTGGATAGAGTAGCATACGTGCATGTGAATCCAAATTGCAATGAGTTTAAAGGTGTAGATACTGTTAGGTTCGTGACTCTCAATTGGGTAAGAAGTCATGGAAGATGCGTATTTCACTTGGAAAGAATCAATTTGTATCCAAGGAATCAGATTTGGAAAAGGAAACAAGAATCCCATCTCAATTTACGTGCCTTGGCCTAATTTTACTAGATTTTCTACTTTTTAGGGACTTTTTTAGGTGTAAACTCGTGGCATATATATATATATGAGTCTCCTCTTTCAGTATTTTTGAAGTCAATTGTTGTAATTCTATCCTTTCATTCATGGAATAAAATAACATCCTTCATCTACCAGTTTATTTCTTTACTTTAATCTTGTTCATGGTATTTTTGTGATCTTGTATTTATACTTCAAATTGGTGTCCAATAAATCTCAATTCTTGCATTTTGTTTCGACCTGGTCCCAACAAGTGGTAATAGAATGGGGTTATTGGTGGATTTCTAGCCTTAAACTGATCGGAAATTGGTCTGAAAATTACCAGAAAATCAGAAAACGAATCTATCCAGTTTTTCGATTTTCTACCGGATCTATTTTTTGTTTTTTCTGGTCAAACCAAAAAGAGTTTGGAGAAACGAACACCACAAGTAGACTCAGCAGACAGAGATGGTCCAAAAAGGGGTCACAGATCGCCGACGCGTTTCAGGCCAGTCGCCGACGATGGGAACTCCGACGAGCAGGTGGTGGCGCATACGGTGGTTTTCGACGACGGTGTCTTCAGACAATTTTCTCTAGACGACGAGACAGACCTTATGGTGGTGTCCAATTTCAGTTTTAGGCAAAATTGTGGTTCTGGACTATTTTGCCTCCTTGCACGTTCGGAAGTTTTCAGTTTTGGGTGTTGCAGGTTCCTTGTGATTTGGTTGAGATATTTCAAGGATGAATTCGTTGAAGTATGAAATTTCGCTATTGGATTGCAATACAAGATTTTCGCTGTGGCAAGTAAAGGTGAGAGCTGTGTTGACGCAGATGGATCTTGATGATGCTTTGCTGGGTTTTGATAGGATGCCAGCAAACTTATCTATGGAGGAGAAACAACCGAAGGATCAGAAGGCTTTAGCACAAATCTAACTTCATTTATCTAACAATTTGCTGCAAGATGTTTTGAAGGAGAAGACAGCGGCTGCTTTGTGGCTCAAGTTGGAGCAGTTGTGCATGACAAAGAGTTTGACGAGCAAATTGGCTCTAAAGCAGAGGTTGTATTCTCATCGCATGGCAGAAGGAGGGTTACTGCAGGACCACATTGCTGTGTTCAAGGAGATCGTTGCAGATTTGGAGACATTGGAAGTAAAATATGATGAAGAGGATCTAGCCTTGGTCCTGTTGTGTTTGCTACCCAATTCTTTTTCATCGTTTTGTGATACTATTCTGCATAGTCATGACACGTTATCTATTGAAGAGGTATACGACACCCTGCTCTCAAAGGATAAGATGGAGCTGTTGGTTGGAGATCCTACATCTAGGAGTGGGGATGCTCTTGTTACTATGGTGATCGACGGAGGGGTAGATCGAAGGCGAGGTACAACAATGTGTATTGTTATTACTGCAAGAGGAAAGGACACATCAAGAAAGATTGTGACAAGTTGTAGGGTAAAGGTGATTTACATGCAAATCATGCAGGGCAATCAGGTAATTCGAACGAGACTAATATTGCTGAAAATTTTTGTGATGATGGAGATGTGATGTTGGCTGTATCTGACGGAGAATCCAAACCTGAGGAGTGGATTCTGGATTCTGCTTGTTCGTATCATATGTGTCCCAATAGGACTTTGTTTCAAACATATGAGACGGTGAAGTAAGGTGGAGTTGTCATGGGAAACAACCAATCTTGCCGGGTTGCAGGAATCGGTCGGGTCAGATTGAGGCTACAGGATGGAACAGAGAGGACACTTGATCAGGTGTGCCATGTTCCAGACTTGACAAAGAATCTCATATCACTGAGTATCTTGGATGAAAAAGGGTACAAATTTTCTGGTGGAGGTGGAGTCTTGAAGGTTTGAAGGGGTGTCCTGGTTGTACTGGAGGGACGGAGGAAATCCCAATTATACATCTTGCAGGGGAGCACAGAACCAGTTCAAAGACATTTGGACAAGTTCAGTACTGTGGAGGACATTCAATTTGGTACAGTACCTCTCAGGTTTGGCTCTGGATCAGTTAAGAACTTTGCTCAAGGGAGTGTTGGCGATTCCGTTTTGCCACTAATTTTAGCGGGTACACTATATTCTTGTAATGCCAATGGACTCTTGGAGCGTATGTACAGTTTTGGAGATGTCCGTATGCTTTAGAAATCATTGAAGGCGACAATATTGGGAAGGGACCTTTTGATTGTGCATTTGGTGTGGTTTCTGCTACAGTGTGTCCTTCGACCCTATCCAGTGATTGTTAATTCGAGGAGGAATTTTCGGAACCCGGGTTTGGGTTTGGGTGTCGCGTGTGGACGCCGGGCGGAGGAATATATTTTCGTGGAGAGTTTGGTTACTGTGTTGAGCAGCTTGGTTATTCTGATATAGTTGGACTTATTTCTCAAGGTGGAGAAATTTTGGAGTTTTGTTCGTTGCACCGGAATTTCGAGTCAAGGTGGAGATTGTTAGGTTTGTGACTCTCAATTGGGTAAGAAGTCATGGAAGATGCGTATTTCACTTGGAAAGAATCAATTTGTATCCAAGGAATCAAATTTGGAAAAGTATATATATATATATATATATATATATATATATATATATTCCTCTTTCAGTATTGTTGAAGCCAATTGTTGTAATTCTCTCATTTCATTGATGGAATAAAATAACATCGTTCCTCTGCCAGTTTATTTCTTTACTTTAATCTTGTTCATGGTATTTTCGCGATCTTGTATTTATCCTTCAAATTGGTGTCCATTAAATCTCAATTCTTGCGTTTTGTTTCCACCCGGTCCCATCAGATACATTTATGTCTACTATCAACTAGAAATTTTCAGGTAAATTAAGCTAAGTTTTTAATTTGTTGTCAGTTGAAAGTTAATAATGAAATAGAATAAACTTACATGGAACATAAGGGACGAATCTAGCGAGACTTTCACATATCCATTCTTGACTTGTACCATAGTATGAAAAAGGTTTTTGAGCTAAAGCATGCAGAGCCCTTCCTTTGTCCACATTTGGAGAAGTAACTATAGTTCTATCTGCTTTCAATATGTTTAATGCGATATCTGCACATAAGAAAAGCAAATTTGCAACTATTGTAAACATAATTTTCATTGTCATCTTGCCCAAAGTCGTGAACAGAGATTCCGTACCATACATGCCACTGTATATTGTTGCAACAAGAATGTTCATGCGCTCCTTGGCCTTGAAATTTTGAAGAGGTGTAATTTTGTAAAGATATTCAACCATTTTTTTGTTTGCCATCCAAGTTGCCAATTCAATTGGGCTCAATAGTTTAAGTCTCGAATTGTTGGCAAAGCATTATTTTTTTCGTACCTTGGCAATTTCTACTACCCCTGATATAGCTGCAAAAAAGAAAGCTGTTTGTCCCTCATTATTCAGCAATTCCAGGTCTCCTTTGTTCAAGCATTCGACTAGCTTGCGGACAAATGCAGTTTGCTTGGCGAGAGCAGCTATATGAAGAGGCTTTTCTCCACCTTCTTCTATCTCCAGAGAACCTGCACTTTCGTCCTATATCAGAGCAGTTTCAGCATCCTTCCAATCTCCTCTTAAAGCAGCTTTATATAATAGTAAACGAAGCCTTAGCTGATCTCCCTTTTCTACCCCTGATGATGTTATCAGATATGTGGAAGATGCTCCACATATTAAACCAAATCCACTCACAAAATCAATCCTTAATATTTACTAGCACATCAACCTCATTACTTTTGTAATTTGTTCAAATGACAACAAAGAGGGTAAGGATGATTTTTGGATACTTTCCAAGTAGGGAAAGAACGAAAATGAAAACTCTTGATAGACGGTTAATCCATCACTTGGCCTCGATGTCATATCTAAAGTCCCAAATGGAAAATCTTATAATTTGTATTTGTTTAATGTGGCAGTCTACATAAATAACATAGGCACACTTATGCGTTATGTCTTGCCACCCACTACAGAGTTCTCACTGTATAAAGTATACACTTATCCTATATTCGATCAACTATAGAACTTGTAAAATAAAAGAAAATCAGAAACTTACGTTGCAGAGCATTGGCATAGGAGATTGGATTTTCAACTTTGACTTCAACTTGGCTATGCATGCTTGGAAGCTCAATGGCTGGTGCCTCGACAACATCTGATGTTGTGGCTGTAGAAAAATTAATCAAACTTACCCTTTCAGTACAACAATTAAAATGTCAAAAGTAAGAAGACTTATTGAATGAGCAAGACTCTGTCTTAAAATAAAAGATTAAGCTATTTGTAGATCTTATTTGAGACATGGAAGTGTTATAATAATTGAATTAAATATGTGAGATGTGAAAGATGATATGAGATTGTATCAAGTGTAATTCAATAAGCCAAGGTTTAAACCAGGATGTGCATAAAGCAAAATTGTAAAATAAAATTGCCCGTCTTTATATCTCAACAAAAATAATTATAATTTATAAACTGACTTTTTTTATAAAGTGCATAAAATCATTTT